ACCCTCATAGCTGCCTATAAGAAAAGGGGAAGTTTGACAGTTTGCTTTCATAGAGCAGTGTTGCCAGACCACTGGCCATTTTTATCGCCCGCTTCTGAACTTTCTTCAAGACGATATATTTTTTGATATTACAAGGTCTCCATGCGAATTGTGGGCACGACCGAACGAAACTTCCAAATATTTTGGAGATGTCTTTATTAATGCCCTATAAAGGCTCGCCTTATCAGTTGCAATACAGAGCTGAGTGACTTCGCTGCCCTCGTACAATTAAGTGTTGTTTTGAGTGAAAAAGTAATCCCCACATCCGAGTACTGCTGACTATCAACTTGTTGTAGCAGTGTACCTCTTAAGCAGTAATTCCTCGGGACTAAGGCTCTACGACCACGGATTTGAAGACCCGTTTCTACTTTTGATTTTTGCTCATGTCTCTGCTAAAGAAACCGTGACGTGTGTCGAAAGGACAGACGATTAAAAGTGTTGCCCCAAAGATCTTGTCTTCTCGTCGAAGGTGTTTTTAATACCACCGAAGGGTATACGCCAGGGCTTTGACCATTACTTGAGCCTGTTTAAGCTCGTTTGCCAATGATTTCTATTTGCCCCCTTTTGAACAACTTTCTACAATTTTTTGTCCTCAGCGAACAGGGTACTCCACAGTTTAGGGCTCTGACACAGTCATTGCTGAAAAACGGAATAAAATGGGACTGAGCACTGTGAGACACCACTCACAACGGTAACCTGTGAGGATTGGTGGCGCCCAACTTGTATTCTTGGGGACTGTCCAGTCGAAAAGTATTGCAAGCATAAAAGGGGGTTCCCATGAAGGCCTGTATGCACAATCAGGTTTTCTCACTCGATAGAATTCTAGGAGTGCTTCAGTGGTGCCTTCTAAAAGATTCTTCATGCTTGGGGTCTGAGTACAGTGAGGTTTATTGGTGAAGCACATCTTGGGTGCCGTCAAGAGTCCTGGGATGGAGGAAGAAAACCCAAAACGAACTTATTTTGCAGTTACTGCTGGCTTCGTTTTGGTTTTATACTTGGTAAATAGTGGATGAAATAACGAGTTTGATGTAATTGAAACAAAAGACTGCAAAGGTACAACGCTAGCGAATTATGATATAGAATAGCTGTATATTAAAGGTAATAATGTTTCTTTTTAAGAATACTTAGGGTCAAGAAAAAGTCTGTCATTTATGAATTATTGATTGGTTATTCAACAGATGTAAATCTGGTTGCGGTCGGGTTGAAGTCCAAGTACATGCTTTCAGGATGCAGACTGCATTGTTCGGGTGTGATTCGGCCATCCGGAGATAAACTGATCTCTATCCATTCAGAATTACTGCGATAAGTAAAGTCAAGGCTGCAGATGCCTGAGGTGCTTTTAAACCAAGTGAGTTTATCGATAAAATGTTTTCTCAGTAGCAAAAGCCAAAAAGATAATTGGTTCATAACAACTCTAATGACTGGCCTCTTCAGGCTTAAAACGCAGGTGACTTGCTCCAATTTTGCACTTTCAATAAATGCGGCGAAATAAATCTTGTAAAAGCAGTAGACTATATGGTCTAGGGCGACAGGGGCATGGTCTAAGGTTTGAAGACGGCAGAAAAGTCTTTCTTGCAGAATGCTGTATTTGCAGTCAAATTTACACAGTGCGAGAATGAAAAAGGCTCGGAAGGACAATAACGCCGTTTGCCTCGCGAACCGTCGATAGCCTATCTAAATTGGTCCAAATTTGATCGTCCGGATCCATCTTTTGAAGTAAATTGCTGATCTGGTGGAAAGAAGTGACAAGATAAAATATAAGGGTGTAGTTTGGATTCTACCCACGCTCTAAATAAAAGAAGTTCTGATAAGGAGTGATTCAGTTCTTCAACTGAGCAACTGGATACTTCTGAACCCGAACTAATAACACGCCAAATCCACATTGCAATTATTTATAAAAACATTTGTACTTATGTTTTGTAAGTACTGATTTAGTGTTGAATACTTTGAGGGTTGGTATATATGTAGATAATAGGGTTTTCAAAGGCAGTGTCTATCAACTTCACGAAATAAACTGAAACCTACCAAAGCTTTTTGAGGGGTACTTTGTACTTGTTGGGATGTGGTTCCGGCTGAAAGCAAAATTAAGTCCTTGAGTACTTCGATGAATGAATATAAAGTTTTAACCATGCAAAAATCTCATTTAAACATCACTGTTCTGGCTTCTGGTATTCATCCTAGAAAACATAGTAATTAACAATTAGAGACCCTAGAAGACTGTACTTTGACTAACTTCATGGAATTATCATCCGAATTCTTACCCTTCTCAAAACTTGGTTTTATAAAGATGCCACAATTTGAAAGCTGAACCCTGGCGGCTACGAATGGTTACCACTAAACCAATGACTAATTCATATACATGTGTCAGAGAGCAAATAATTATCGTAACTTTTATCAAGCCGATGACAATAAACACACATGCAGGATAAAGGAAATGGAACTCACGGAAAAGAAATAAATAATCATCCACAGCTATAGCAAAGGGATAGTTATACAGTACGTCGAGAGACCTTACAAATGTCCATTGACCCAAGGGATTATCGCGATCTGGAGGTGAAAATACCTCAACTGTCCGCGTGACTTCTCGGCGTTGGATAAAACCTCCTACAGCCACAATTTTGCCCTTTGCGTAGGCCAGAGCATGGTATTTGCGTTTCAGATTCATCGGTGCCGCTCGACGCCAGGTGAGGAAACTGTGTGCTTCTGAAGGTTCTGCAGAGTTGCCGACTGGAAGGGTGCAGTACTCGACCAGATCCATTTCATGACCGAACTCGTTTTCGCCACCAGTCACAAAAATGCGGCCATCCTCTTCGTGAGCCACTGCACGGTGAGCAGCTCGAGCGTCGAGCAAGTCTGGAAGACGGAACCACCTAGGGAA